TGGTATTATTGTGTCAATGACGATGTACTTCTCTCTACTTACACAAACAAACAATCTAATCTCCTGAGGGATGCCACACTAGTACATTTTTTCATACAGAGGGGTCCGCTAAAACCAAACACTACTGTTGATCCAAAAACAGCAGTAAAGCAAAATAAAATCCTCTATTGTTTTTCTTCTTTAAGTTTAAAACAAGCTCTCTAAACTAGAAACAGTTCTAAACCGAAAAAAATCCAGCAGTCTCGCAGATTTTGGTGCTGGTTCCACTGTGTTTTATCAATTATTAATCTTCATTTAAAGTCAGGCTATCATTTCAGGAAAGATTCCATCAGCACATGTACAGTACTCAAATTAACATCACTAACTCTTAGTTCATGAAAAAACACAGTACCACATTGAGAGTTTTATAAAGAAGTTTTCCATAAGTCTAATATAGTAATAATATGACTTCTCTGGGTCCCAAGCGTTTTTTTCCCTTCCATCCGAGCAACCTCTCTTCTTAACTAGAAACCAGGCTAAACTGAAGAAAATCTGGTCATCCCGCAGAGTTCACTTGAGCCGACATCACTGCATAAGGGTAGAAAGCTTGGCCATGATGTCATTAAGCAGAAAGCAAATAAGAAGTAGAGTTCATTAGAGAAGGATTTGAAGTGCTTGGCAATATGGATAACAAGATGAACAAAATGAAATTGCAACTCAAATTACTGTCAGTTAGATCAGTCACGATACAACGTAATGAAACTTACGGCCTATTTCATCAGCCGTCGACACGCTAAGACTATAAAATATGGAACCTTCCAGAGGAAGTCCATCCAGCGAGAAAATAACTGTTATTCTTTATCTGCTTGATGTTACATAGAAGACAATATGATTTAAATAGTGCAGAGGGGGGCATAAAAACAATTACAATTACAGAAAACAAAAAATGTAATGTGTACAGTAACAACAAATACTAACTACAATCACGCTATGTACCAGTTTCTGATTTCACAATTATCACGGCAGATTTATACCCTGACTATCGGCTATCTTCATCATTGTGGAGACAGCACTGAGCAGACAATTGGAATGTTAGAAATATCACTTTAAAAAAATAATTAAAATTTACTAAAATGCAGAAAAATATAACAAAGCCGGTAAATTAATTTCTGATCTTCGAAACAACTCCAGAGTAACTTAAAACTAAATGCATTTCCTACTGTCAAATCACAGAAAATAACTTGATAAAAAGGAGAACATTTCACAATAATAATAATATGTATACGTAATATTGGAATACAATAATTTGTATGTAATGATAAATAGCTTTTTTGATTTAAGTACGAGTATTAGCATATATCTGAGTAAGTATAAAAATATGGAACACATCAGACTTTCTTAAGTTCATTGAAAAACAAAACACACATGGACGGAAATTTCTATATGGCAAATTAAAATGACTTTCTTTGAGAGTAGCTAGATGACATTAACAGATCAATCGAGAATGTAGAAAAAAAATGTTATGATAAAATGGAGGGCCTTTAGTGTACAACGTAATCACAATTGACAACATTATCACAATTTGACTTTCAATTCACCAGAACTTACAATAAAATTTAGTGTTGAGAAATAATGTACAATCACTTTCACATACAGACATGTATGTCTTGTATGCCTCTCTCTAATTTACTTTAAACATTCTCTGTCATATTCGTTATGGTAGATGACAGACAGACATATTAGTTGTCTGTTATCAAGTTCACATCCTCCAATCTTGTTTGGACGCGGGTGTGTGTGTGTGTGTGTGTGTGTGAGTGTGTGTGTGTGTGTGCTTGTGTGTGTGCCTGCATGTGTGTGTGTGTGTGTGTGTGTGTGAGTGTGTGTGTGTGTGCTTGTGTGTGTGCCTGCATGTGTGTGTGTGTGTGTGTGAGTGTGTGTGTGTGTGTGCTTGTGTGTGTGCCTGCATGTGTGTGTGTGTGTGTGTGAGTGTGTGTGTGTGTGTGCTTGTGTGTGTGCCTGCATGTGTGTGTGTGTGTGTGTGAGTGTGTGTGTGTGTGTGCTTGTGTGTGTGCCTGCATGTGTGTGTGTGTGTGTGTGAGTGTGTGTGTGTGTGTGCTTGTGTGTGTGCCTGCATGTGTGTGTGTGTGTGTGTGAGTGTGTGTGTGTGTGTGCTTGTGTGTGTGCCTGCATGTGTGTGTGTGTGTGTGTGCGCGCGCGAGTGTGTACGTGCATGTGTGGGTTTGCGTTTGTGCATACGTGTGTGTGCGTGCGTGCGTGTGTAAAATTCAACTCATCATACAAGTTAGCACGTCTATTAACTGGTCGCTGCATTCTTGTTTTTTTGGGGGTTTTTTCTTCTTGTTTTCCTCATTCATCATAAATAAATCGCACATTATCGTCGAGGTCCGACTCTAACCACGCATGACCAGGACCATCAATTTTGAGAAAAGTGGAAAAAATGTAACTTTTTTCCTATTATCGTACCCGTGTGACTAGATCACCAGACAGTCTAGAGCCAAAAATACCATCAGTTTTGTCGGTAGTTTGTTATGTGGATCACACGGTGGTTCTACTTTGATGTGAGACCAAAAAAAAGTATTTGACCTAATTTGGCAAATTCTCTGTTCAAGTTGGACACCGACAATATTGTCACTGCGTTAGCAAAATGGCACATCTCATTTTTGTTATTTCTGAGACAAATGAAAAAAATCTGTTTAACTACATTTTTTAATCATCTTGCCATGCATGTTTCATTTTGTAACTGTCAGCCCATTTTTGTCTTGGTTTTACCAAAAGATAGACCTAGTACCACCAAACAAATTAAAAGGCATTTGTGAGGCAGCGTGGTGGAATCAGGCTCTCGTCAATTTTTGGGCATATAGAGTTATTGGTATCATCTTAAAGCTTTTTCACTTGTCTTTTTTTGGAAAAAAATATCCATTTATCTTGAATATGTATAAGTCGAGATATTTGCTAATGAAGGAGGTGGGGGTCACCTGTTTTCAGAGGTAGAATTAGAGAGAAAATGGCCTCCAAAGATTAGTTATTTCCTTTGCTTAAGAGTCCGTGGTAACTGAAAATTTACATTTTTTTGTGCCTTAAATCAATGTTTTTCAGAAAAATCCACACAGAAATGAGTTCTTTAATGGGCATGGAGGGTTGTGCCAAAATAAGAAATTGGATAAAAATTCACAAACCTGCTGAAAAATGCAGGTTTCTTCACTTTGATTATTTTGACGAGAGCCTGATTCCAACACGCTGCCTCACATTTTGACACAACTTTGAGTTACCCCATTTTGTTAGCGCAGTGACAATATATGTACATGACAGAGGAATCCCCTTACTTAAACCCATCACTTTTAATCTGAAAACCGGGGTAAACCGAAAGAAAAGAAAATCACCGATTATTTTTCTTCCAATAGAGCGACCTCTCTAAACCAAAAACCCGGCTACACCAAATAAAATCCCGCGCCCCATGCGGATTTCGGTTTAAACTGGCGCCATTGCATGTCGTCACAAAATGTACCTTTAGTTTTTTGAGCAACAAAAAACATGCCACAGCAGCACTGTGCTGTTTTTTTAAAAACTACGGACTCAACTTTTTTTTTTTTTCTGGCAAGTTGTATTTGGTTTCTGACCAATATTTTCAGTTACATCGACACTTTTGATTGGGCTGCTCATCTCCAATGTGTGCCTGGATTCTCGTTTGTTTTCGTTTTAGTAAGAGTTTTACGGTACTTGTAACACAATAAGGTCATATAAGTGTAGAAGATTAGAGGTGTTACAAGAGAGTAACATACACAAAAAAGAAAGAGAGATAAGGATGATAGATGTTTGATACGAAAGAAGGAGCAAACCACAACAGAGCACCTGCCAAATACCCACTTCTCATTTGTAAAGAATTTTTTAGGAACATGAAGTTGAAGACAGAAAAGTGGTATGCAAAAAGTCCATCATGGCATAAAAAAAAAGTTCAGCACATCGTCAGCATCACTTCACAGTGGTCAAGCCATTTTTTTAATTTAAAAAGTTTTGAGAAAATTTTATGAAAAAGAGAGCATCCAAATCACAACCATGACTTTGGCACTCATTATATTTCAATAAAAAATCAGGGAAGGAAATAACAAAAACAGAATGAAATTTTATTATATATATAAGATTTTTCTTCATGTCTTTATTTTTTATTCGAGTGATGGCTTTATCTGGAACCCCCCCCCCCAGACATTTCTTCGTGTGATTGTGAAGTGACACTGACTACATGCTGACATAGAGAGTGTCAGAGAGTTGTTATAAACTCGGAGATTTTTGCAAAAAGAGCAGAACACCATGATTTTGAAAAGGAATTAAAGCAAAGTATAGAATAAAAGGACTATTTCTCCACAGCTAAAAATAGCCATCATTCCGCTGCAAAAATAAAAATCCAGAAGGAATGGGAAATTATTGCGTACACATCAAAACATGTGAAGGAATTTATATTGCAAATTTTTAGGATATATTAATAGTTAAAGTTTCATAACAAAAAACCAAACAAGTTTCTTTCTGAACATCGAAGTTTCACAAAGAATTAAAAATAAAACAGTGTTTTTTTGAAAGAGCACCTGACTTTCAGAAGAATTTGAAAATAAATGACTTTTCAGAAAAGTGTCACAATTTTTGTGAATGCTGCATAATCTTTTCAAAGAAAATTATATGCATGTAGGAGTTAGAACTCATGAAATTTGAAGAAAAAATACATAGAAATACAGATGCTCACAAAACAGAACTTTGAAATTCTTCAAAAGCCGTCCAATGTCAATGAACTGCAGTATGTTGAACCCTCTAAGTGTCGCTAACAAATGGTCACTTTCAAAGACAAGCCGGCTAACCCAGATTTCGGGGAGACAAGCCGGCTAACCCAGATTTCGGGGGTTTCCAGAAATCTTGACATACACCAAAAGTGGGCATTGGCCTACCTATAGGAGACGTTTGGTTACATTTGTGTGTATATTTGTTTGGTCTTTTAAAGAAACTGAACAAGGGGCAAAGACTTTACCTTCGTTTTTCTCAAAACAGCATTTTTCGGGATAGCCGTCTTGTCCTTAAAAGTGACCAAATTGCCTGTGGTGTCAGGGAAAATTAATTGATTTGATCACCTCATGTTGGAGAATGCTTGAGAACAAGCAAACAAAGAATAATATAACAGCCATAAATCTACACATTTTGAGGAAAAAAGAATGTAAATAGGAAGCAGATCCCTTTTGTGAACGAGTTGAAATGTTTGGCGTTATAAAAAAACGGGATAAACAAACCGGAATAGCGACTCAAATTACGGCCGATTGAGTTGGTCGCTCCACCATATAACGAAAGTTAGGGCGGCCTATTCATTCGGTTGTCGACACTTGGAGGGTTAAGAAGCTCATCTCCGTTGCCTCAGACAATGTCAACTTCTCCTTTGTGGCGAGAGGGGGGATTGTGCCAGTTGAAGACAAACAGGCGGAACGCTCGCAGGGGAATGGCAACCTGGAAAAGACATAAAAGGAGGAATAAAGCAATACTGACAAAATTGACCAATTGGTGGGGTTTACTTTATTATGTGAGGCAGTGAGGTGAAATCAGGTGCTCGTCAAAATAATGAAATCAGATCGGCATTTTTCTTCCGGTGTTGCAATTTCTAAAAACATTTTAGTAGTTTGGTTCATTACCTTTAATATCTATTGATAAAGACATTTCTGTGAAGATTTCAATGAAAAAAGTTCATAAAAGGCACAAAAAAAGTAAATTATTTGTTTCCGAGGTCTCTCAAGCTTAGATGTAAGATACAACACTTTAGGGACCATTTTCTCGCTAATTTTACCTCTGAAATCAGGTGACCCCCACCTCCTTCAACTGAAAAAATATCTCGATTTAAATCACAATCAGGACACATGAACAAGCTTTATAATTGTACCAATAACTCCGTATACCCAAATATTGACGAGCGCCTGATTCCACCACATCGTAACACACACGTTAAAAATTAAGACATTTCCACACGATTACCATAATTAAGGCACTGTATTAGCTTCTTGACCTTGAAAACTGGACTTTGTTATTTTCCTACTACATTTGATATTGTGCAAGAAGGAACTCATCTTTAGGGAGAAAAGTGGTTGTCTAATACGAGGTGCCCACTACGGACGGGATCGGACGAACGGGCCCATTGTCTGACACTATCGCCTCAAAAACAAACGTGTTTGTTTTCAGCAACCCCTCCCTCCCCCCCCTCCCTGTCACCACCCCTCATTCCCTTCAATCAACAACTGAAACAGGTCAACATTCAAGTTTAAAATGGCAATGAATTTTAACAAAACTATGAGATTCACAGAGAATTTACAACAGGGTAATCATACCTAAGAACCGTGAATCTAAATTGCTTTCCGTCTTTGTGAAAAATACACTTTGGAACCTTTTTTATACCTGGACATTCTACTTAACACTAACCACCCACGCAGCACGCAGAGTGCGTAACACTTATCCCCATGGACCAGGATACAGATGCGGTACGCGTTATATCACACCGTCGCCGATCGGCGTCCCGTAGGGAAAAAGTGTTAAAATTCATTTCAAGTAGTAGGCCTATTTCCCGTTACAGATATAAAGGCATGAGCTCCTATCTTTTTTTTGTCTGACAGAAACATAATGAAAAAACAGGGTCTTCAAAAATAAACATGCTCTAAAATAAAAAATAAAAATTGAGAGCTTTGGACGAGATCACAACCACAAAGAACTTCACAGAACAGGCACGGGACTCTACCAGTTCTGTGGCGTCAGTGGCTTAGTGGTTAAGCTCTCAGCAGCTCGTAACCATGAGGTCATGGGTTCGAATCCCATCAGGGGCCCAATGTTGTGTCCTTGGGAGAGGCACTTTAGATAAACCTTCCCCTCATTTCACCCAGGTGGGAATCTGTACCCTGCTATAGACAGTAAAAGACCTAGTCAGTATGTTTAGTGTTTGAGCGCTTAATCAGCTGCTTGCACTGTATGCTTCCCGGGAAGATGACAATGTTTCTGGGTGCTCTATGGTCTGCTGGGGTAATAATACAGTGTGTAAATCGCATAGAGCCTGCTGTTGAGCAGGGATATTTGCTATACAAATGCTATGTATTATTATTATTACCAGTGACAATATGGCTCCGAGAAACTTTACGAAAGGTCCAAATGCGTGATACAAAGCGCTGAAGATATTCCAGTGAAAAGCCGCCACCGGCTGGATAATTGCGTTGAAGGTCACGGTGAAGAGTGGCTTCAGGAAGTGGTCGCCGACGGTCCCCAGCACATCCACCACCAGGGGGCGCAGCACGTGCTTCATCAAGTACAGCACCAGCTCCAGCACCATCAGGACGAAGAACGACGTGAAGATGCGCAGGACAGAAAAGCCTTCACGCCAGATGCGCCGGAACACCTTGTCCAACCTGGCCGGTTTGATCAACGTAAAAATTGATACAATTTAAAAATTGACAAATTGATACGTTTTAAAAAGAGACAAATCGATACTATTTGACAAATGAAAAAATTGATAAATTTTATAAATAGAAAAATTGATAAATTTAAAAAAGAAAAATTGATACATAATTTGATAAAAAGAAAAGAGAAAAATTGATACATTTTAAAAAGAGAAAAATTGATGAATTTCAAAATTATAAAAATTCATACATTTTAAAAGCAGAAAAATCGATATTATTAAACAAAATGAAAAAATGGATAGATTTCATAAATAGAAAAATTGATATATTTTTAAAAGAAAAATTGATACATAATTTTTTTTAAAGAAAAGAGAAAAATTGATGAATTTCAAAAATATAAACATTCATACATATTAAAAGCAGAAAAATCGATACTATTAAACAAATGAAAAAATTGATAAATTTGATAAATATAGAAAAATAGAGATACATTTTAAAAAGAAAAACTGATACATTTGATAAAAATAATCTTTTATACATTTTAAAAAGAGAAAAGTTGATGCATTTTAAAAACAGAAAAATCGATACTCTTTGACAAATGAAAAAATTGATAAATTTGAAAAATAGAAAGTGTGATACATTTTAAAAGGAGAAAAATTTATACATTTCAAAAATATAAAAATTCATACATTTGATAAGTGGAAAACTTTCCCTCTGAAACAATAAAGTATTATCTTATCCTATCTTGTCTTATCTTATCCTATCTTATTCTATCTTATCTTATCTTATCCTATCTTATCTTATCTTAAATCTTAATAGATTCTACAGCTAAATATGGTTGAGTTGATGTTGAAGGAGAGGGGGAAAAGATCAACTTTACCGAAGATTAACTTCAGGAAATTCAAAACAAGTGGAGTCGACTGCATCTATGAAACCACCAAATATACACTGTGACAATATGGGATTCTACAGCACACATGTGTGATATCTACGAAACCACTGACATTTAACTCTTTCACTTCCGCAATTTATGTTTCACGGCCTGTGTTACTCCTAACGCTGGACCGCCAGCCGTGTTTCGCAGCTCTGCACTGTCTGCTTCAAAACCCAATCATACTTTTGTAATAATCGATATTAAAATCAATTCGATGGCAACAAGGATTATCTGGAATGGAAAGACGTCGCCATAATCAGACAGCCACCGAAACAATCAGTATGGATACCTTGCGGGCTTTGGTGCTGGGGGGGGAATGAGCACTTATGGACCTGTCCGGTGTGCAATGACGTTGTTGCCCAGGACAGGTAATAACAGGTAAGGCCAGAGGGCGACCGAGAAAGACCTGGATAGATGGAGTCAGGGAAACATTTACCACCCACGGCATCCCCCTGACCCAAGCTCTCCGGCTGGCGACAGAGAGACGTCTCTTTCTTCCCGCGACACCCAAAAGGGTATAAGCGGTGGATGAAAGTAAAGTAAAGATATTAAAATCTCAGGCTGAAGAATGATAATTCTTAGCAACATGTTGAGATAGGTCATTATTTCCCCTTTATCTTCATATATAATACATGTGGCTAATATTGAAAATCAAACTAAAATTCTTTAATTTGTCTGAGGGTAAGTAGAATCTGAACGTAGGTCACAGACAGGGCCCGGTTCAGGTGAGGAAAACCCCTTGGTAGTGAAAGAGTTAAAATTGTGAAAAAAACTGACACCGGATACTTACTTGTCAACTTTATCCGGCAGGTAAGCATTGACTTCGTCATCTTCAACTTTCAAGAAGTGGAGGCTTCCCTCCTCAAAGAAAAACACACACCTGCAACGAAACAAACAAACAAAACAAACAAAACAAACAAATATGAGGTTATCTCGATAGAAACACAGAAACATTCAGACCAGCTGACAAATACTTTTCAAGCATTTTAATTTTTCTTGTTTTACTTAGTTCCAACATATTTTACTTTTCAACTCTAACAAGGTTTCCAACTTCCAACAATTACAAGGGGCTCTCATGATTAACCCTATCCGTACGTCGTGCAAGTGCTTTACTATCGTATCCATATGACGTGGGGCACTCTGTGTCACCATTTTTTCAAAGAGGAAATTTACTCTTAAATCTGATTTGTATGCTTTGCATAGCAGTCTGTCAAAATGATTTTCTGAGAAATACTGAAAGTTTCAAAGAGATCTTTGTACTAGAATTATTCTAAAATGTGAAGAATACAACCCCGGGGGTGCAAAATGACACCAGGGCATATGGATAGGGTTAAGAGGTGACAGTGTTTGCTTCTCATTCAATAGGTCCTCGGTTCGAAACCTGACAACAACAGAAAATTTTCTTCTGTAAAAAATGTTTTCCTTTTACGTCCTTTCCTGCTCTCTAATCATATTCTGTCGTCTGCTTTAGTCTCCAATATCTGCCCTCTTCGCCCCCTCCTTATTCAAGATTAATTCCTACCAAACTGGAAGTGCTTAATGTGTCTCGTTTACTCATATGACCTTACGAAGCTGCGAGCACCGTAAAACACTTACCAAAAAAAAATTTTTTTTTAAACAAACAATTACAATTTTCCGGCAAGCTGTTCAACTGTTCTAAGCTCAGAAAGCAACATTTCTTAAAAGAGAGAGAGAAAAAAAAATTTCATTTTTCTTTTTTTTTTTGTACAACTGTACCTACTTAACGTACTTTTTCTAACCTTTGTTTTCAATAATACTTAGAATTTTTGAATTTCCATAAAATAATTTTCGAGCACAGGCAACTTTTACTACAGATTAAGAAGCTGCAATCAGAAAATTTTTTACATTCAAAGTTTTTGGGCTCAGTACAACTGAACATCCGTCCACCGATATCCCGGTGGGTGCTTGGCGGGTGCTCTGGTGTGGTTTGCTCCTTCTCTTCTATCAAACATCTATCGTCCTTCTTTCTCCTCCTCCTTTTTTGTGTTTGTTACTCTCTTGTAACACCTCTAATCTTCAGCACGTATATGACCTTATTGTGTTGCAAGTGTCGTAAAACTCTCACTAAAAAAACCAATATCCCATTGCATCTGCCGCGAGGAAGAGAGCACAACTCACTTCTTTCCCGTGGAGTCTTGGAGAAACACAGTCTGGCCCCGCCCTCCTTCACCGCCCACACCCGGAGATCGCAGGTAGCCAATGTCAAGTTCAACAGCTGACTTGGAGACAACATCGGAACGTCGGTCCGGCTTCTGTTTATGGAAATATGCAAAACACGTGCAGAAATAAGAAAAAAATGCGAGCAACGATAGCGTACAAAAGTGCCTGTAAAAACTTTCACAAACGTCCTACTTTGCTGTAAGCTGACAAAACACCTTTTTTTTCCCTTCAGAGCAGTTTCGAGAAAAAGGGGGTTTTTTGTCAGCGGAATCATTAAAAAATGGAGTCATTTCGTAATTTGAATTCTAATTTATTCAAAAACTAGTCAGTTTCAATTGGACTTTTTCACACAATAAATAGGGTAACTGATCAGGCTTTCGATTTAGCAAATACAAATCTTGGCGCCAAAATGAAAAAAGGTGTTTTGTCAGCTTACGACAGTACTTAGGATATCAGATAAAACAAGTTGTTTCTACTCACATGTTGGTGGGTGCTCTGGTGTGGTTTGCTTCTTCTTTCCTATCAAACATCTATCGTCTTTATCTCTCCTCCTTCTTTTTTGTGTTTGTTACTCTCTTGTAACACCTCTGATCTTAAGAACTCATATGACCTTACTGTGTTGCAAGTGCGGTAAGTAAAACTCTTACTAAATATCTAAACTAAAAACTAAATATACTCACGTGGAGAGATTCCGGAGATTTCTCTCGCTTCCCGCCGTCCTTGGTCCGCGTCCATCTCTCCAGGGTGGTCTCACCCGCTCTGGTCACTGTGGGGCTCGGGGAGTAGCCTCGGTTTTCTGTGACCATCAACATCACGGCAAATCAAACGGGGAATTGGTGTAGTAAATGATCATAAATGTGTCACGGCGCGGTGGAATCAGGCGCTCGTCAATTTTTCGGTATATGGAGTTATTGGTATCATCTGCAGATGAAAGCTGATTTATTTGCCTTGCTTCAATAAAATTAATATCCATCTATCTTGAATAGAAGTAGAAATATTTGTGATTGAAGGAGGTCAGGGTCACCTGGTTTCAGAAGTAAAATTAGTGAAAAATAGCAGCCAAAGTTTGGTAACTTCCATAGCCTGAGGGTCCTTGGAAACTGAAAATTTACATTTGTTGTGCCTTTATTCAATGTTTTTCAGCACAATCCACACAAAAAGTGTTTTTAAATGGACATAAAAGGTGTTGAGCTAAAAAAAGAAAAATAAGAAAAAAATGCCTATTAGCCAAGAAAATGCTAATTTCTTTGATTTCATTATTTTGACGAGCGCCCGGTTCCACAACGTCGAGACACAAATGATACTATATAACATTTGTACCACGGAAATTCCTGTTCAACTGCAAGCTGTGAGTGCTTTACAAGCTAACAAGCGGACCCGAGAGCATTCTGAAACAATCTCGACTTTCTGGGAAGCATACAGTGCAAGCTGCCATTTTACAGGCGCCAAAACACACAAACAATCTGACAAGATCTATGGCCAGGTACCCATTTACACCTGGGGTGAAGTGAGGAAAATTCACATACAGAACCTTTCCCAAGGACACAATGTCGGACCGAGCTGAGCTTCAAACCCCGTAACCTGTAACCTCACGATTATAAGTCCGGTAGCCTAACCACCAAATCATCAACCCCACATAAACGGAAGACAAGAACCTGAACTCAGCCAAATATTTGTGTCTCAGTTTGGAATTTTTTAAAATCTCTTTTAACAGCCTTTAAGTATTCAGAATATGTGGTGATTATTTCCACGATGCTGGTTCAGGGAGCATCAAAATGTCACGCTGTGCTCTCATAATGTAAAAAAATGTCTCAAAGAGGAAAGAAAATACAGAGAGAAAAGAATCAAAGATTCAAAATGATTTTATTGATACCAATCTTAAAGACCTTTGGACTATATACCTCCATATGAGAGGGAGAGAGAAGAGAAAGAGAGATTGGACAGAGAGAAGAAAAAGGAGGAGAGAGGGACAGAAAGAGAAAGAAAAAAAGGGATGGAAATAGAAAGACAGATGCGCTGACAGACAACAAAAAAAGACACACCAAGAAAAAGAGAGAAAGAGAGAGAGAGAGAGAGAGAGAGAGGGAGAGAGGGGGGGAGAGAAAGTGAGAGAAAGAGAGACAGAGACAGGGAGAAACAGAGACAGAGACAGAAAGAGAGACAGAGAGGGAGAGAAAGTGAGAGAAAGTGAGAGAAAGAGAGACAGAAACAGACAGAGAGAGAGAGAGAGAGTGAGGGAAAGAAAGTGAGAGAAAGAGAGACAGAGACAGAAACAGACAGAGAGACAGAGACAGAAACAGACAGAGAGACAGAGAGAAAACGACTCACCATTCCCGTTGGAGAGAGAAGCCTCTGACAGAGTTATCTTCCTTTCCCCACCCGCCTGTTGCCGCTGCCTGTCCCTCTCCAGATTTTGCTGCAGTTCCTTCAGCACCTGCTCCTCTGCGTCGCTGTCGTCCCAGTTCACCGCTGGAGATTGTAAAAATAAATAAAGCACTTGTAGTTGTTTTACACCCCCACTGGCACAACTTAGGTTAAACAGAAGGCACCCCCCCCCCCCCCCCCGGGCAGTGCTACTGACTGAAGTGTCTTTAGGCCATTCCCAAAGGGGGGGGATATTAACATGTTCTTATGCACAGTAGAATTGTGAATGGGCTGATTTATCAATGTGATACTCATACTATGCTGGAACAACATAGGGGGAACTGCTGCTTTTTCTTTCCTCATCTTAGCATCGTCATTTTTCCTCTTCTTCTTTTGTATGTTTGTCACTCTCTTGTGAACTGCTATTTTCGGGGTGCCTTGATAGTCGAAGCAGACTTTGTGCTGTTGAAGCTAGAGAGGTGAGCAGAGTAAGCCTGATTTCCCTTTTGGACTTTTCTGTTGACATCCACCCCTTGGTGCTCATGTGATCTTATGCTGTTGCAAGTGCCGTAAAACCTTACTAAAACTAAAATTTGAAATACAGAGGGCAGGGTGTTGTCATTCCAGGTCCCAGCTAGGAATAGTTTTTTAAAATATCACTGTAGATGAGGAATGCAACGGAAAAACGGGCTTAGCCATAAACGGGAAATTGTGAGGGAGCCAATTTTAAAAGCTTGTGGACTCATAACTTCATATTTGTTTTTGACTGGTGGTTTATTGTTAAGTGTTGTTGAATGGGAAATCTAACAACAATAATCAACCAACAGTTGAAGAGAAATACAGTTATGAGTCAACAAGCGCTCAAAATCGATACCCTCACGATTTTCAGTTAATGGCTATTCCTGTTTTTCCCGTGGACTCTTCAGTTATTTTCCACCCTCGTCGCCACAGATTATACAAGAGGCGGGGTACTGTCGTCCCAGTTCATGGAGAGAAATTGTCAAAAATTTTAATGTTTTATGTTTTACTTACCCTTCAACATAGCTTATCCATAAACTTAAAGACATGGTTAAATGGTGCAAAGAAAAGAAAAAGGTATTCCATTTCTAGTGAAATGAGAGCTTCAATGGCTTCTCAGAATTGTTGCAACAGAATATGGAAACAGAATAGTTGCAACAGAAAATGGAAACAGAATAGTTGCAACAGAAAATGGAAACAGAATTGTTGCAACAGAAAATGGAAACAGAATTGTTGCAACAGAAAATGGAAACAGAATTGTTGCAACAGAAAATGGAAACAGAATAGTTGCAACAGAATATGGAAACAGAATAGTTGCAACAGAAAATGGAAACAGAATTGTTGCAACAGAAAATGGAAACAGAATTGTTGCAACAGAAAATGGAAACAGAATAGTTGCAACAGAAAATGGAAACAGAATAGTTGCAACAGAATATGGAAACAGAATAGTTGCAACATTGGCCATGATCAATACACTTTGACGCAAAGGGAAGCACATAAGCACAATATCTAACGTCTGTCAGGAAAGAGCAAGACAAAGGAACAGAAAAAGTGAGACAATGATATATTTACTAAATAAAGCAGAAAAAAAAGACAATGACAATGACAATGACGACCTTTATTCATCTCGCAGGGAGAAATTTGTCTTGGTCGTTAACAATGGCAGTAGACGTTACAAAAGTTAGACTGAAAGGTGCACTCACGCAAACGCACAACAAGACAGGACATTAGGCCGAGTAAATACATGTCTCACGGGCTGGGACAACCCACTCCGTAAATATCTCTCTCTCTCTCTCTCTCTCTCTCTCTCTCTCTCTCTCTCTCTCTCTCTCTCTCTGTCTCTCTCTCTCTCTCTCTGTTTCATTTGTAGCACTGTGTGTTCAGTAACCTCACTTGATCTTGAGAATCTTGAGAATCATAAATGTTCTACAAGATGAAATGTGTCTGTGTGTGTGGGGGGGGGGGGGGGAGGGGGGTGTAGTGTTGGGAGGGGGGCTGTTGTCCCTTTCGATTCCGCTGCTATATTTATATGGCTTGAAATGCAAAAGCAGTGCCCAAGAGGCCACAAATCTTGATCATTGAAACAGACTCAGGGAAAACGCACAAAGTCCTGCACTCACCCACAGGGGGTTGGGGGGTGGGGTAGCCCTCTGTCTCCGGCACGGTGTACAACATTCCTTTGGTCGTGTATCTTCGCGACGGGATCTCTGGGGCCGGGTCGGCTACCACTGAGTAGTCTGTCAGAAAAAAAAGTTAGTTTTAGTAGAGATTTTACGGCGCTCGCAGCTGCATAAGGTCATATGAGCGCCAGAAGATTAGAGGTGTTACAAGAGAGTAACAAACATAAAAAAGAAGGAGGGGGAGATAAGGACGATAGATGTTTGATAGGAAAGAAGGAGCAAACCACACCAGAGCACCCACCAACCACCCACAGAAAAAAAAGTAATCTATTCAGTTTAGTCAAAAGGCACATCACATAAACTGTTTCTATACTTACCCACTTTTACCTATATCCCTGTATACGTGTATATTTCGTGTATATTTATACTTTAACTCTTTTTCTCCGTGGAGGTAAGCCCACTACGCCGAGACTCTATTTTGGTAGGAAATCTAAAATTGACGTATTTGTCACTAAACTGATCATTAAATTTTTTTTAAAGTTAATCTATTTCGACAGTTCTTCATCTTGTGAATGATCTCCCAGTAAAAAATATTTATTTTCGTCAGTTGCCGCCGAAAAGTAATTTGACGTCAAAGTCGTCGCAAAGAAATGTGCCCGAACTGCTGTCAGCCACTCACCGGCACAGTGGTTCTGACCACAAGCCGAAGCGGCTTGCGGGAGATAAAGAGTTAATAATATAAATATTTGTGTCATTTTAGGTGACTTTGTATGTGAATGCTACAAATAGTTTAATGCCATTGTAGGCTACTAGTAATATCTTGTAAAATACATTGAATATTGTCAGTATTGTAAATTATGGAAAAGCACAATATCTTATTTAATGGAGCTAAGCCCGTTTGTGAGGTCAGTATACATTTTTCAAACAGGTGCCCATAAAATCTACAACAAAAAAAAGGAAAATCTAAACAACAGCTGACAAACAAGGAATAAACAGAACATAGCTGGAACAACAAGATTATCCCAATTGTAACAGCTAGTGAAGCGTTGAATTAGAAGAATATTGGTACAAGTGAAAGCTTATCAGAATGCACCCGAGTACATATCCACAGGGTAAGGGAGGGAGGTGATGAGAGGCGACTTGGCTCCTATTTTTTTGCTGAAAGGTGCATTGCGCATTCGTAGAGGGGAAGTGCACTATATAGATCTTTGTGATCCACTATTATCATTGTCGTTATTACTACTATTATCATTATTATTATAACAATTGTTATTATTATTATTATTACTATTATTATGGGTTCTTCTTCTTCTTCCTCGTTCTCGATGACAGCAGCTAGACAGTCAGTCCGATGTCGCTTACA